CATGGACAGGTAGATTGACAGATAGATGGACAGGTAGGTGGACAGATACATGGACAGGTAGATTGACAGATAGATGGACAGGTAGGTGGACAGATACATGGACAGGTAGATTGACAGATAGATGGACAGGTAGGTGGACAGATACATGGACAGGTAGATTGACAGATAGATGGACAGGTAGGTGGACAGATACATGGACAGGTAGATTGACAGATAGATGGACAGGTAGGTGGACAGATACATGGACAGGTAGATTGACAGATAGATGGACAGGTAGGTGGACAGATACATGGACAGGTAGGTGGACAGATACATGGACAGGTAGATGGACAGATAGATGGACACTGGAAGGACAGGTAGATGGACACAGATAGGACAGGTAGATGGACAGATAGATGGACGGGTAGATTGACAGATAGATGGACAGGTAGGTGGACAGATAGATGGACAGATAGATAGATAGGTAGGTGGACAGATAGATGGAGAGGTAGATTGACAGGTAGATTGACAGATAGATTGACAGGTAGGTGGACAGATAGATGGACAGATAGGTGGACAGATAGATGGACAGATAGATGGACAGGTAGATTGACAGGTAGATTGACAGATAGATGGACAGGTAGATTGACAGGTAGGTGGACAGATAGATTGACAGGTAGATGGACAGATAGATGGAGAGGTAGATTGACAGTTAGATGGACAGATAGGTGGACAGATAGATGGACAGAAGGATGGACAGGTAAATGGACAGATAGAATTACAGATAGATGGACAGGTAGATGGACAGATAGATGGACAGGTAGGTGGACAGATAGATGGACAGATAGATGGACAGGTAGGTGGACAGATAGATGGACAGATAGATGGACAGATAGATTGACAGGTAGATGGACAGATAGAATTACAGATAGATGGACAGATAGATGGACAGATAGATGGAGAGGTAGATTGACAGTTAGATGGACAGATAGGTGGACAGATAGATGGACAGAAGGATGGACAGGTAGGTGGACAGATAGAATTACAGATAGATGGACAGGTAGGTGGACAGATAGATGGACAGATAG